AAGATCTCCACAGTTGTCTTCAGGTTTTTTGAAGAAGTGCCCTAAAGATTTGGCTACCTTTGAGCTAAAAAGCTGTGCCCTCAGGAATGAATGCTGCTCAAGACAAGTCAGGATAGCAGACTTGGGAGTCTAATGCTGGAAAAATAGCTGAAAGTTTCTTTTCTCACATTTTTGTTTAGCCAAGTGTAGCTTGCACTCTGGTTTTCCTCTTCTCCTTCAGCAGCTTCTTGCTCGGCTTTCTGTATTAAGAACAAGCACAGTCCCCCTGAACCCAGTGAGTGAGCATTGTGCTGATGAAAAATCTCTTGATTAAGAACAAACTATTTGTTTAATCAGTCAACCATGTTTAGAACACAGGTAGTTATAAACCACCATTCTCTCCAAGGGGACTATGATTTTTACCCTTAACAATACTTTTGAAATATCTGAGAATTAGAATGAAGGGCACATGAGAAAGCTTTAATTGACAGCGTTAATCAACCTTGACCCCTCCAGATCATGGAGCAGCACTTGGCATAATTTATTAGTAATTTGTGGACTTTCTGGCCTAAATTATGCCACACTCCTAATTTTGTTTTTCTGCTTCCCTACTATCCTGAATACCCATGGCTGAAAATACCATTCCACTCAGCTCCATAATTCCACCTGTCCTTGCCCCTTCCAGTAAATCTCTGTAATTAGTTCTGGGAGTAGCTCTCCCCAGTGCTGCTCTTTAGTTCTCCATTACAGGGATGCAAGAAGGAGGCTCTCTTTCAGATGTCCCTGGATCCACTCAACCTTCTTTGTTTTTTCTTTTTAAAAAGCAAGGGGAAAAAATCATTGATACTTTTTATGTTCTTAATCACACCATGAATTTGTTATGAATGTTTAAAACTACAGGCCATTTAAAATGAGTATAATGTGAAGATCTAGAGAATTCTAATAGATAAATTTCTTATTATCTTGTTCACTCATCACAAGAACAGTCTCTGTCCTGTTCACTAGCACCTCCTGGAATGCCTTTGATACGTTTATAAAAGTTTGCTTGTCACTTTATATCCAGTTCTAAAGGACTGCTGCTCCTGAAAACATGACCTAAGAGGACCTTGTGGTTCATAACTACGTCATCACCACCAGTCTTTTGTGTGGGACATCAAAGTAGTCATGTGCCTCTGTGACTTTTTAGGGTGAGCAAAAACCTGCCGTGTAACATAGCTTCATGATGCACCATTCAAGATTTGTGCTGTAAACTTTCAGCCGTTGTAAAGAACTATTTGTTTGTTTTGTTTGTTTTTCTCAGTGCACTGCATGGATGGGGTTTTTTTTATTAATTTCTAAGAGCTAGGTTCAAAACTTGCTTAAATCTGCTTCTCTTCATCTGTGCTTGATTTATGATGCTTGGATCTTAAAAAAAATTAGAAGATGGAAAAATCTTGGTTTCATACAATATTTCAGTAAGACTTAGGAATAACTGTGGTGTGTAATTTCTGAAGGGTTTCAAACACTGCTTCCTCTCCCCAACAGCTATAAAACACAAAGGAAATTATTTGCATATAAAGAATCTGATCATCCAAACATCATGCTTCTAATGAAACATAAATCAGCTAGAAAGAGCTTACTTAGTTTTTCCTAAAAGAAACAAATCAGTCTGAGTTATTTTTCTATGTAATTAACACTGTTTGCTGTTTTAAGCAGAGAGATCAGAGCTGTCCAAAGCAGTTAAAATTATAGCAACATCAGCAGTTTTTCTGTTTGCTTTACTTTCATTCATTCTGGCATCATAGCTAATTTCTAATCAAGTAAATGTGTTTGAAAGTATGATTCAGGGGAGTTTATACACTTCTCCATGCTAAGTGCATAAAGATAGTTTAATAAAAAGGGTATTGCAATCAATGACATTTTTCTAGTGGGTATAATTGCCTCTGCAGGAAACAAGTGAACGATATATGTCAGGATGTGTGTTTGGATGACAATGGGCAGATTGGGCATGCTAATAAGCAAGGCCATTCAAGAGCAAGCCTCTTATTCTTGTACATCAGAGGCTTGTGATAATGGTAGAAGTTGCATTCTGTGTCTTTATAATGTCTCATACTTTCAGCAGACACCCTCTAGCAGAACCGAGGATGGGGCCCATCATCCCACTGCTGCCTCATTTGCAAATGTCATATTTTCTGACCCAGCCTCAAGAAGCATGAGTGGAGCAATGTACAGAAATCCCGACTGCTCCTTCTCTTGTAATATCCAAAGAATATGTTACTATCTGGGATTGACAAATCAGTCCGATATTGATTCAGAGCCCACTGAAATCGCTGGAAGTCTGTGACTGCCAAAAACTACCACTAACATCAACATTTCTTGGAGCAAGCTCTTCAAGGGCACAAAACTCCCTGGGAAATGGCTTGCTTTATTGGAAAGCAAAGCTGATTAAACAACAATTAAACACAGCCAGCTATCTGGACTTCCCTCCACAAAAGCTTTGTGGCTTTAGAGCCCTACCCCAATAAGCAGAAATGTGGAAGTTGAAGGTCTTTACATTTTATTTTATACGGCTCAGCTCAATAGTAATTAGCGTCTGCTTCTATGGGCCTCCTGTACTCCACAGCTGCAGCAGCCAAACCTTGTTCTCTAGAAAAAATTAGACTGTTATCTCTGGGAATTTATTTCCCACCAAGAATATTCACATTTCTCACTTCTCTCCAATACTTCAAAAGCTAGATGCATACCTCTTGAAGGACTGTCCAGATCTCAGTCCAATCTACTGTCATGTTCAATAGTTCATCACTGCAAGAGTTTAATAAATGCACATTTTCCAGATATATCTTAAGTCTGTGTTACCTCTGGTAATGCCTGCCTGGAATCACAGATTAAGAAATATATTTATAAATCCCCTAGTAAGTTTAGAGTAATCAGCAAAAAGACATTTCTTGTTAGAGGAAAATTTGTCCTTCAGACTCTGAAGATAACTGTTTGTCTGCAGTCTTCTACTACAGTCCTTCCAGCACAGCTGTCTCAGCAAGTGATACTTGAGAAGTGGAGGATGGAGGAATGAGATGTTTTTACAGGCCCCTCTAGCACTGATTTGTACTGCCACACTTGGAGCATTCTGAGTTTGCCATCTGTGATGGGCACCATTTGGGCAAAGTGTGCCTTTTATAAAGGATGTGATGAAATGAAAACCTAATGATCTGCTTGATTTTCCATCTGTATTTTCTTCTAGAAACCTTGAACTTATGTGTTCTTCAGCTTCTTCATTTGAAGAATCTCATCTTTCAACAGCCATTTCCATCCAGAATTACAAGTGTTTCATGTACTATCTAGGGTGCTTTGCCTAAAGTTTTCAAAACCAGCTGCAAAGTATAAATCTCTGGCACCTCATATTTTTAAATCACTGTATCTGCTTCCCCACCAGTTGTACAAAGTGTTTGAAAAAAACCCAGCATTTTCTCTATGGTGGAAAAACATTTTAGTCTCTGCTGAAATCCTCCAGGTTTGTTGATGTTCTGCTCAGCCTTACTGTCTTTTACTATCCTGTGTGATACTTGGATGATAGCCAGGCACATATAAATTGCTCCCACTCATGCTCTCTCTGGCAGGTTTATGTGCCTTTCACTACTTTCTAGCAGATACTTTAGGCAGCAATTTATTCCTATCATGGTTTTTTTCTGCTTACTTTCTTTTCCCTTTTTAAACCATATTACTTCTTTTTGCCTAGAAGTTACTTAGTGTTTTAGGATCCCTGTGGATCGATGGCTCAGAGACTACAATGGCAAAATCATGGCTTTCTTTTTAGGCTTGTGAAAGGGAGTAGGAGGCCATACAAAAAACTCGTACTGCCCAGTTTCAATGCTCGCCATGCCAAGGGGCACAGAGTGGGCATGACTTTGAAGCTGGAAGTGCCCATCACGGTGTTTGGCTCAGTACATTGGAGGCAGCACAGAAAGGAGGCTTCCCATGCCAGATAAAAGAGGTGGCACAGATTATTTCTTGACTGGAAAATGAAGGGGAGGAAAAAACAAACAAAAACCCAACAACACCACCAACAAAAAACCCACCAAACGACAAACAGAGACTGCTCCTAGAAAAACTTTGTTCTTGATTTTCCTCTAAGTACCAAAAGTGTACACTGAATAGAGTCTAAATTTTGGGCAAATCCATAACCTAGTCTCTATTAAGTAGAGTTTTCATTATATTTCTCCTAAAGATTAGAAGAAAAAGCAGCAAAAGCAAAAAAGAAGAATTAAAAAATTTAAGGAGCATCTGTTTAAAGGCAGAAGAAAATCAGCATTATGGATTCAGGCTGAACCTTCCTCTGCAGCCCCCCACCCCGTTGAAAAGTTAGCTTTCACCCCTCTTAACAGAGTTTCTGGCTTGCTGTGATTCATGTAATTCAAATGGCAATCCTAACAAACACTGTGTCACTAGGAAGGGGGAAAGCATAAAACTTGAATCATGCCCCACTCCCAGCCTTTGCCACAGACCCCAGCTGCTGTACACTTGCATCAGCAAAAATATCTGTGGGGCATTTTGTGGCCTGAGCTGGTAACTGGGCCCAAATGTAAAAGAGCATCACTCAGTCCTATGTTAGAGTTGATTAAATCACTTCAAGTAGAGCAGATATTTACTAGAACATACCGGTGTTATTAAGACATATAAGCATGTTAGAAGTTTATCGTGTTTTCAGAAAATATGGACATAATAAAAACAAAAACCCCACAGAAACTCAGTTCTGAGACTTAGTTCTCTATCCTAGCACATCTCTTTAAAAGCCCGTTTGTCACGCATTCATCCAGGTATGAGTGTCAAAGCGCATACCAGAGATGACTATTAACAGGCTCATCTTCATCTAACTCTGACCTATTTCTAATGCTCTTTTTGGCAGACTGTGACTGTGTGGTGTCTTCGCAGAGGTGGTTGTGATCCTAATTAAGAAAACTGACATTTTAATATTGCATTTGTATAACACGGTTTGTTGCAATTTTCTTACACGCTGCTACTAAACAAACCCTCCTTTGCCTTCATAGGTTACACAAATGGACCAGAAGCTGAACCTCATTACAGATATGCTGCATCGTCTGGTTTCCCGTCAGCAGGGGGATCAAGGGAATAACCGCTCAGCTCAGAAAGGCAATAACGTCAATTCGGCTCTTTTCCTCCCTAATAACACCCTGCCAACCTACGAGCAACTCACAGTACCAAGAGGAGATGAAGATGACATATCCTGATGTGGTAGAAGTCTGGGTTGAGTTCTTCCCACCTTTCCCCTTTAAATGGGACTTAATGTTGAGAACCTGGAAGGAATTAAGTTCATCAGCCACCCAAGAAAACTCGCAACTACTGTATCTATACCATTAATCTCAAATAGGCCCTTCTGAAGCCGCTCATAGTAGCCAAAGGATTGCCAGGCTACCTTCTACCAGGCAAAACTTACTAAAGCTCCACATTGATTTTGTTCGTGAACAAATGATCACAACTTGTTATTTCTCAGAAAGTCCAAAACAGTGCAAAGACAGGCAAAATGGCAAGGATTTAGAGCTCCTTTAATAATAATAATAATAGTAATAATAATATTCTAATAATACTTGAACTTAGATGGAAAAAGTGCATTCTGTTTATGAATCTGAGGATAGCAATGTGTTTCTGCTACTAAGGTTTTTAAAACAAACTAGAATAACTTATGCTGTTTTTATTGTATAAACATACACTAACATTCTAAGGAACAACAAACCACACAGTGAATGATTTTCTTTTTCTGTTTTATTTTAACATTGCTACATAAACAGTTATCAGATAATGACCAGGTTTTTTAAATCTGTTTTTCTTCAGGGAGGAACTAATCCTTAATCTGGAACAATACTATTTATAGTGGAAAGTGCTATAGGTTTTTTAAGATATCAGTTTTTCATGGGGAGACAATAAAGCATTACATAGAAAAAATTATTCTGCTTTCTAGAAAATTGTTGCCAAAGAATTTATATATAAATAGAAAGCACAGTGGTCTAAATGTACTTGTCCTGAAATAGCTTTTTTAAAATAAGGCCCACTACTGGTTTTTAGCTTATAGTTGCCAAGAATACTACAAAAGGCTGAAGTGACTGGACTTGCTGGTCAAGTGCTTGAGCTGGCCACTTACTGATCACCCATCCTCGCAGGAATTGAGTCCCCAGTTCAGGAAAGCTGCTCTCATCCAGACAGCATATATGACAATTTTAATAGTTTCCTGAATAACATCTTGAGAAATTTGACTCCCTGTAAGAATCATTTGGGATAGAAAAGTGCCAGCTCTAATTTAGAGAACTGAGGGCCTCAGCTACAACCCACAGAGCTGAACCACATTGCCCCACATGATAACTGCAGTAAAGCCAGCAATGTTTGGCTCAGTCTGATTTTTCACATACACAGGGTGAGCACGATTTGGGTTTTGATTACTGAAGGTGAAATTCAACCCTTGCAGATAGTCAGCACCTGTGCCATGATAGCCCTGCTTTGAACGTGGAACATCTTTACAGCTGACAGAGTGTCAGGAAAAGCCATTTAGTCAGCGTAGTGGTGGTAGCCCATACCATTGGCAAAAGAGGGAGTTGTAGACAGAGGTATCAGCTCTTGCACTTCGAGCATGATACACCTCCAGTGCACCCTATTCTCCTCACTGCAGAGCCTGTACCCCACAGCGGTCTCTCTCCCTTTCCTGGAAAACTAATGCTCTAAAGCCTCATAACTTTGCACAGCAGTTAACATCACCAGTCTTTAATATCTTTGAGCAGTCTGAAATACTGATGTGCAATGAACTGAGATCGCAGGGGACCTTCTCATAGTGTTGCTCATGTTCCGGGCTTTCTTTTCAACATTTCATCTCTTTCACTTGGACTTCAGAGAAAAGTATACTGTATTTAACTTTACAGATTATGTTCCAATTATCCAGCCTTGCTGCTGTATGACTATAGATAAATGTTAAGGGTGTAGAAATTTACAGGCATAAACAGGAATTTTATCTGGGCATTATGTTTTATAGAAATCAAAATTATTGTCATGATTTTGAACATTTTTAAAATGAGATACACGATGTAATTTCAGGTTATCAATCTGCCTGTTAATTTCCTAATAAAATGCAGGACAAGAGTGCCATGTCTTTTGGTTATTCTAAAATCCTAACACTTGATAAACACAGGAAAGCTGTTGAGTTTGCTTTCTATGTTCTCTTAGCCCACTGTACAGTGTGCAGATGCCTTATTAGCAATGCAGGACCGGAAATCTTCAGCTGATTCTTTACTAGAGAAATAAAAGAAAAACAGGACTTGATCAGCTGGAGTGGCCTTGGAGAGAAAGGTGTGTCTTGTAGCCCTTGCTGAAATCAGCCAAGTCTATGCATTTCTAGGGACATCGTGTTAACCATAAAATGCATCCATTCCTACTGTTTGTTCCCAAGGCCATACCTGCCTTTTCGGTTTGACAGCCAATCTCAGTGATATCAATCTGGCATAGCAAACATTTGATGTGAAAGATAATTTTCCATTCTTGCTGGTTGGTCTACATCCATCTGAAAAATCACTGTTACCAGAATCCTGGGAATAATCAGGTTTTACAGATTCTCAAGGCTGCTGGCGAGTTGTCACAATGTGGGTGATTCCTCACCTGGGTCCAGCTGATCCTTTCAGAAAGAGCACCACCTCTGAGACCTGCTATTTCAAATGTTATTTGGGTTATTTCAAATAACCCACCTTGCCCTAAGAAAAAGATGATCCATTTTCCTGGCTGAAGAAGGATGTTGTAACTGAGCCATGCAAATTTGCCATGCAGCTGCCTGGAGTTAGCCATCCCCAGCTGCTCACTGGAGACAGGTCTGACCTCTCTGCTTGAGGGACCGGACTGAATTAATCTTGTCTGCTGGGGCTTCATACCTCAACAACTCCCCCTGGAAGTAGGTACCTCAGCATCTCTCTTTCACAGTGCATTGCGGAATGGCAACAGCAGAAAGATGAGCTGAACAGTTCAACTCTGGACCAGCCTGAAGTAACCAGCATGCAGCGAGTATGTGTTTCTGCTGAAACCGTGTCTGTTGGTGTCTGCTCTTCATCCAAACAGTCCAGAGCAGGGTTTTTCAAGTGGATTGGAAAAGTTTCTAAATAGCTTGAAGGAGAGCAAAGGAAATTGTAAGGTAGGCAAAGCCATTACTTTATCATTTTCTACTGCACTTTTGTAAACTCTGTTAAAATAAAGGCATCTGAGGATGCAGAAAGGATTCTCTCAGAGCAGCTCGACAGCAGTTTGTGTTTGAAGGCCGGTGTAAGTTAGGGACCTGGACCTAGGGGTTTCTGGATTCCCATCCTTGCCAAAAAAAAAAAAGGTCAGCTATAAAAAAAGTTGTCTAAAAAATGTGACCTGGCTCAGCTTCCCCAGCCTACCAGGGTCTGGGTGCTATGCCAGATATGGAAGGTAGGAAGCCAGTGAAAAGCCAGTGAATAGGACAGGAGGAGGAACACAGGGCTGCCCAGCTGAAGGTGATGAAAGCTTGGCCTGCCTCAGTCCACAGCAGAGGCAGACAACTGTGCAAGTTTGCAAAAAGAAAGATTAATGGGAGGAGGGGAAATGTGTGCAAGGGAGGAGGTTTAGGAGATGAGCAAAAGCATGGGCTCCTGGTTAGGGGGCTGTGTTGGGGTTCAAGAGACAGAAGCACTGAGCCTGGCATGAGCATTAATCTGCAGTGTGACCTCAGGGTGAGTCATTTCACCTGTTGGGCCACATCTGTTGCCCCCTGTCCTCCGCTGAGCCCACGTGTCTATTTAGACCACAAATTCCTCAGGACAGGGACGGCCCCTTTCTATATTTTTGCTCAGTGCCTAGCACAAAGGGACCTGCGCTCCAAGGATTTGAGGTACCGTGCTCATATAGATAATTACTCAGGAGGTAAAAGCCACCCTGGAGCCCTGATATATGCACAGCCTTTATTATTCTGAGCCCAGGGAGTTTCAGAGTTGGAAGTGCTTGCTTGCCAAACTGACAATTAGAGGATGTTGGGTTTTAGATCCCCTTTGACACAGTATCTTACAAAAGACCAGAAGTCCGATTGTCACTCATTTTCACTCTTGTATTTTAAAGCAGGTTCATTTCAAATAGTGCAATGGGCCAGCACTATGCTCCAGTACTACCCGAGACAGAAAACTTTGAATGTCAGCAGATTAAATAGCCACTTTACTGCAGTGACTTAAGGGCTGCTGTTGCTCGCAGGCTCCTCTGGACACCATCAGTTCTGAGGAAGGTGGAGATATTCCAGGGAACTGAACTGAAAAGGTCTGTGCAAGAAATTAATTGCTTTTCAAAATATATTTTTAAAAAGTAAAATAGAGGAATATTTTCTTTTCTGGGTGTTTAAAGAAGAAAAGCTAAAATCAGTTTTAAGCTAATCCTCGTGTACCCTGCTGAGATTGGTATTACTGTTCTCATTTTACTGATGAGGTGGTGGTTTGGAAAGAGGAGGGGCACTGAAAAGAAAAGGAAAAAGATTAAAGCTCTGACGCAATTCCCATTTATGTCCTACTCCTGTGAAAATGTACTTGTGTGCTTCATTTCTGCACAGGAGTCGGGCTGTTGCCTGTAGTGGACTACTCAGTCCATGCGGGTCAACAGAAGCCTTTGCAAGTTCAAAATGCTCAGTGGTCTTTCAGTAGAAGCTGGGCTTAGTTGTGTATGCAGCATTACTTTCCTCATGGACACTCCAAATAGCTCATGTAACGTTTTGCATTCTGGGCTCCCTGAGCCACGGCAGCTGTGATGAGGGGCATGAAACACGACGAGTCGTTGCACCAGTGCAATGTGGGGGTAACAGCTACATCCCAAGAAGGGTTCATTCCTATGCAATAACCTAAAGCTGTTGAGTTCAAATCAAAAATAGCAAGTAATGCTATGAACACTGGCTTTTTTCTGTCTTGTCCGTAGGCTGAGTTTGGTGTCTAAGGAGTGCAAATTTCAGCTGAAACTTCTTTTTTGTGCTTGTGATGTAGAGCAAGTTAGTTTGTTTTCTGTGTCGCTCCCCTGGCACCCCACAAGATGTGCATTTGCGCTCAGCATTTCCTCAGCAAGGACATTGGTAGCAGGCCCCACTCTCTTCTACCTAAGTGCCTATTTTCCCAAAACTTATAAGAATTTAATTATGTTGTAGGCCTCTACCCTTCTGTCAAGTTGAGCTGAACAAGGTCAACAGGTTCAAAAGTTATTAGGAGGAGGTAAA